CCTATCGTCTGAATCATCCTAATTTTGATCATCGGTAGACTGCACAGAAGATAACGACGGATCGCAATTTAACTAGATGTCGTAATACGCCAATCAGTCTTGGCCATACACTACAGCTGACAATCGGCATAAGTCGCAGGACAAGTCGATATAAGTATCGGGTAAATCACGCACGAAACTCCTCTGACTTGATACGCAGTCGATTCTCGACCTCCGCATGACAGACCAGTCCAGTTCCGCCGGGCTTGAAAATAACTTTACAATAATACCGCTGTCAGACCCGGTTTCTACGAGCGCGAAACGGAGCTACTCATACTATCAGTTTACTGTCTCAAGCAAAAAAACACCGGTCTCTACAAACTTTCTCCTACTGCCTGTAAACCTTAGTGCATGAATGGTATAAAGCTTAGTACATAAAACAGCTACAAAAGCGGCGAAAGCATGACATATTTACGAAAAAAATATCAGACGGAGAAAGCGTGCTGTGCGAAACATGACGTGATGGTTAAAACGGCCGACTGTTGTTTTAATCGACAGATTTTGCTCTATTTTCTGTTCAAAAGACCACACTTTCCATTACGAGAGGAAAGACGTCATTGGCAGGGCGGTGAAGCTCGACGAAGAACTCCTCAAATGCTAGTGTTTCAGAAACAGAAACCGTTGGCTTCTTCAAGCAGTTCGGTCCGGTTCGCGCGCCAACGTCTTCAACAACATCACGAGCTAACGTAACTCTCACTTGAATACCTGATCGTTGCCGGGAATCTGCCAAAACAAGAATCATAACTACGCTGTTGAATGTCGGCTACTGTAATCTGTGAGTACTAGAAATGAAGCACTGCGATGTTCGTTGTTTTAAATTCAACTGCTCAGCTCACCACCACAGACACCACGACGGATGGACGGAAGGACAGACGGACGGACGTAACGTACCTTTCGTTGTGAAAGCGCGCTCACACACCGTGCATTTGAACGGCTTGTCTCCAGTATGGGTGCGCATGTGAATCTGCAACGCACTAGAGCTACTAAAGTGCTTGTAGCACAACTGACACTGATGCTTGCTGAACACAGATGGCTTTTTGACACCGGGTGTCACCGAATTCACAGAGGTGGCCAAACTTTCGGCACGTGACCACATTTTTTGTATTGATTCTAACGGTGTTGGATTGTTCGAATCGAAGTTAGTGCCATCGACGGCACACTTCGCTGCGCTGACGAAATCGTCCGAACTGTCCTCCCTTTCGGGTTTGACTTGCGATGACAGTGTCGCCGATGTCACCGATACGGTCACTGTCGCCGGTGCCACCGACATCGACACTGACATGATCGACGGTGAATGTGCATCGGACATGACGTCCGAGAACGCCTGCTGGCTGCTGACCGAGTCTGGTCCTCCGCCGCTGCCGCTACCGCTGCCGCCGCTACCACCGCTGCCACTACCGCAATCGGACTTCACAGACGCAGCCTTCAGAACGTGCCCGACTTGTAACTGACTTGGAGATTCCTTTTTGACAGAATCCGGCTCTTCAGATGACGGCAGTTCGCGGATCTTATGC